TCATTTGACGAGTATTTAGACTCTGAAAGAGAAAGGGAAAGAGAGAATGTGGTGACCTTCCAACATTGCCCCTTAAATTTTTGGAATTTGGTATGCATGTGACTATCTTGGTTGAAAATATTGTTGGAAATGTGTTCAGCAACCAAATAAGAGAAGCATTTTGAATTTATAAGAGATTACAATTTGTAAGAGATTCCCCCAAAAAAAATTAATCAGAGATTAAATGATTTATTTTATATGTGAGAGAGTTAAATTTAAAAACAATAAAATGTGAGGGACTATTGGTGTCATTTTTCAACATTTGAATTTTATTATCAAACCCTTTTTAATAACTAAATCCCATAATTTTGAAGCATTTTGCCTATCCAAATTAATGCATCAATTAAACCATAGCATGATTATAATAATACAAGGAAGGAACCAATATCTTTTTTTTTTTAAGACAAAAGTGCAACATGAGGACTTCTCAAGGTCACATGGAAGGAACTAGTATCAATTGGGAATTGCATTTGATAAAACTTAAATTTGAAAACTGAAATCTGGAGTTTGAAATCTGAAATATAGATTCATTAAATTAGTAAATTATTAAGTACTAAATTTGATACATTTGAGTGTATATCACATTAAGTGATTAGTGAATAACTTAACACTTATTTTTTTGGAGCAAATTTTGTCTAGAAAATTCATGCCACTTAATTTATTCAAATATTCTAGTCTTATTTATCAAATGCATATGAACATATTAAAATCTGAACTTATTGAATTTAACTGCTAAATTAAGTTATTAAATGGGATCTAAGTGTCGAAACTTTAGTAGCCCTTTTAAGGTAGGCCACTACAAGTCCATAACTAGTGCAATTAGTAATCAACGGCCCTTGACGTTAAACAAAAAAATGGCACTCAATGTTCCCTTTGTCGGCAGACCGAATGGCTTTTGTCCCTCAATAATCTTAGCCCTAACAAGAATATCTATTTCACCAGTGCTCGAATAAGACGAAGGAACATCTTCATGAGGAATTCTGAAAATTGTATGGGTGAAGTGATAATTCTGGCGGTGTTGAGTGCTGCTATGACTTTTTTCAATTAGAAAGTACCTATCTACAGCTTATGCCTATTGTTGGCTAAGCTTAGATATGCAAGCACTTACAAAAGGTAAGTGACAAATAAATGGATGACAGAAAAAAATTCTTTAGTCACTCACAAAGTGCAAAAGTCACTAAGATATGTTCAATAATTAATCTAGACATTGATTGGATGAATGTTTTTTGGGATGTTACTAGATGAATCTATAATAATTTTTTTGATTAAAATGTAGTGACATAAAAAAGTGATGAAACATGTGTTTAGAATTTCCAAAAAGAAAATTATGAAAATGTTCACCATCCAAGCAAAGCCTTAGATAGTTTTCTTTTAATCTTTTAAGGGGTAACCAAAGAAGGAGACACGAATGATACAATTATTTTCCCATTTTGAAGTGATAAAAAATAAGCCGTTTAATTGCTACATCTGCTTTTTAATAAATAAGTTTTGTTTCTAACAAAAAAGGTTTGTAAAAAATATTTTTCAATAAGGAAGGGAAATTTGAATCCAAAACTTTTACCTTAAACCAAATCCTCCTCGACAAATAAGATTCTTAATTTTGAGGTGTCAATATTTGACAAGTTACACATGTTAATATCATTCTTGTACATTTCGTCCTCTGTGGGCGAGAATATGTACTGCTATTTTCCCTAATGATAGTCAAAGAACAGTTTTCATATGATTTGCTCCAAAAATCAGCCTCTGTTTTGCAGACATGATAATCTGCATTCAATAGGCCTGTCAATCGAGTCATATGAGTCGGACTTTCATAAATTCAAGTTTAACTCATTTAATTTGTATCATTTTCGGGTTTTGAGCCGTGAGTTTCGGATTAATAAATGTGATGATCATACTCAACTCACAAAATATTCGGATTTTGAACCTTATTCGGACTGAGCCCAAACTCACTTATTGCTCTTCAATTTTTTTAATATAATTACTATAACTATTGAGTTATAAAACTAATTTAACATTCACAGGACTACAACATTAAAACTAAACATGAACAAGTAATAGTTCTTAAAAAGTACATAAATCAAGAATTTTTTAACAATATTGATATCTAATTCGTTCAAAGTACACGAAAAATAGTAATAAAACATGTGGTCATAAGTCAATACATCTTTTAAGGTTGGAACTTCTTCATAGCTTTGTGACTTGAATTCAAACATGTTTGATGATTTGTGTTTCTAGATAAAAAAGAAATCAACAAATATTATGCCAATACAAAAATTTACTCAACCAATAAGAAAAGTTAGAGTGTTAATTATGCATTACCAATATTGACTCTTAAGAAAGTTAGTAGAGGAGTGTTCAAATATATTTTTGTATTTTGTAATTTGTACATATTTAATAAGACTTTTTTTCGGGCCGAATGAGCCGAACTCGGCCGCCTCGGTCCCATTGACAGTCCTAGCATTCAACCATTGGGGAGTCCGGGTTTCTTACGGTAAATAGTGATCCACTTTCTCCTTTTACCGTACCTGTCCCCGACTATAAGTAACACAATTTTGGGGAAAAAAAATTGATTACTCTATTATAATCAATCAGCAATGAATCATCTACCTGGGACATTCCCAGTTTGATCTATAGAGCCCAAACCAAAAGATATTTGAATAGCATACCCGCCCAACCTATGTATATACTACCTCACTAGACCCTGGATGGATATTCATGAGGCATACTATTAATAATTCAGTTAGTTTCTATAATTTTTCAATCTTTCTTTTTAAATGGTGTCTCATGGCTTGGGTCTTCTATTACACATTTTTATGTTACACTATGGCCTTGTTTGGAAGCGGAGTTTTTGGCCAAGTTTTTTTCCTACAAATTTTTTAACAACTTTAGATACAATAATTTCAAAATACTTTTCAAAAATTTTAAACTACACACTTTAAAATACTAAAAAACACACAAAAAAAAAAAATTCCCTTCCTTCTTTTTTTCTTCTTCTTCCCCTACCTCAATCCACCACCATCTCTGCTGGAGATGGCCGGCGCCTTTTTTTTTTTCTTTCTTTTCTTTCACCTTTTCCTCTCCTCTTCCTCCTTCCCTCTCCCCCTCTCCTTCTCCTCCTTCCCTCTCCCCCGCCATCTCCCCCCCCTCCTTTTCCCGACCACCCTCCTCCTCACCCTCCCCTAGCGCGACTAGATGGCAGGGAAGGGAGGGGGGAGGAGATGGAGGGGAGAAGAGAGGAGGGGTGGAGGAGAGGGAGAGGGAAGGAGAAGAGATAGAGGAACGGGAAAGAGAGGAAAAAAAAGATTCTGCCGCCGATCGTCGCCGGAGGTGCTGGCGACGGCAGTTGGTCAGTGGGGAGAGAGGGAGAAAAAGATTGCAGTGGGGTGGGGGAGAAGAAGAGGAATGGAAAAAAAGGAAAGTTTTTTTTTTCTTAAAGAAAAATTTTTACACTTTTCAAGAAATTTTTTACAAATTCTACAGTAAGTTACAATAAATTTTTGGACAAACATCCAAAAAATTTACCCACCAAACGGGACCTATGTTGCCTAACTTCTTAAAGTAACAAGTGTCCCATCAAGAGAGGTATTTTAAAAGTTAGATTCTTATCTATTATTGCATAAGACACATGTCAATCGAATAAATAGTGTAACAAAAGTGTAATATGAAAAGTTGTAAAAGAAAATGTTTTGCCTCTTATAACCCACTAAATATCTAAAAGTATGAAGATCTTTGACAAATGGGAGAGTCAAATTTTACATCCAGTAACAATCTGGTTGAATATGTATCTTAATTAATACACATTTTATAAAAATCCTATCGTTTTTATAGCCAATTTTTCATTCACTTTTTCTGTTTAAAAATTAAAGTGAAAACAGAAGAAAAGGAAGCTATTGTCCTTAATTCAATCATTTTTGGGTTTAGACTTAGTAGCATAAATCCCTAATTCATACATTTGTCTTTTTTTATATATATATAGACAACAAGAATGATCTTATTAATGAGATTGTTGGATTTCGTGTAACAATATTTGTTTGACAAAATTCGATGGGGGAGTTCCATAGCGATTCTTGAAGGTTGCCCGATTTTGCAAAATGAGTTAATCTATGCACAATCTTGTTAGCCTCTTTAGGAATCCAATTTACATCAGCAATATCATGCTCTAAGAAAGCTAAACGAACATCCTCAATTATCAAGCCAATATCCAAGAGAATGTCTTCATCCACTTACCCTGAGGATGCATCCTGCCCCTTCCAAAATGTAACTTTGAATCATTTAGATGTTTGTCAGTGATACCGCTTCCCTTGCTGTAAGAGCTCTTCTAAATCGGCATTGGTTAAGAAATCAAATCTTTTTGATAAGCCAGCTATGAACTGACTATCAAAGTTACGAATAACTAGGCCAGCACCAATAACATGTTTAATTGATGTTACAGAAGCATCAAAGTTACCGTGTAATGGGAATGAGGAGGCAAAGACCAAGATATGGAACAGGCATGGCGAGCAGCGGCAAAGAATGATCATTAGCTTCCTGAAAAGCAGATAGATGATGAAGTGCAAAACTAACCATTGGGAGAGAATCCACCTGCCATTGAAGAGTACTTCATTTCTATTTCTCTGTATTTCATAGCAAAGAGTTTCGAACAGCTCACAATCCTCTGCTTAGAACCAGTAACACTCGAAAATAGAAGAGAATGCGAGGCAAGTCTCCAAAATGGTTCCTTGCAAACATCACACTTAGAATCAGTAAGCTACACATTCGTTTTTATCCATAAATTGGTAAAGGTTAAAGATGAATGATGAATTGAAGTAGAGATTCCATTGGAATTATGAAGGTTTACAAGGGTCAGACAACAAATTACAACAAAGTACAATAAAATGTTGAAAAGAAAATTGATAAAAATCAACCTACCACCCAACATCCTACCATCCAAGATCGGCCTCAAGATTCTAACCATCATCTATTCTCCAAAGATGGTTGATTGCTAGCACCAAAACTTGTACACTTTTGTTTTTCCCCTTTTGGAAGATAATAATTCTCTTCTGTAAAGGGCTATTAGAATAATTCCCCAAGGAAAAAATAATAGTAGTGTTTCCTTTATGTTTAGGTAAAGATAATTGTACACTAATTAAACAGTATCAAATAATTAATCCCAAATGGAGTTGTACACTATGAATTCTTCACTATGCTCAAACTCTTCTTGTCCGTAGAAAACCATAGGTTCAGCTGAAAACAAAGCCCCTGTTAATTCCATCCACATCTTGGGTGAGTCCAATGGTGATTCATATAGAGCTTCAATTTGGCTAGAGGACAACCCCACCCTCGCCGGAACTAAGCCACTTTTGGCATAATCACCACCACATTCATTCACCTCCTGTCCCTGAATTTGCCTCTTAAACCACATTGCAGCCTCCTGAGCAGCCATTTGAATATGTTCAGCACTCGAACTTGCTGGTTTAGGAAAATTCTCCTCCAATTCAGGGAAATTGAGGCGAGCTCTTGAACCTTTTAGGTGCAAAGCAGCTACGTCGTAGGCCGCGGCTGCCAACTCCGGTGCTTCATAGCTTCCTAACCATATCCTGCTTTTCTTGCCTGGCTCACGAATTTCAGACACCCATTTTCCCCATTTTCTTTGCCTGATTCCTATGTAACTTTGTCTGGCATATTCATTTCTGATCTCTTGTGCCATTTTTTTTGAGCAAAATGAAGAGGAAATTATATGTCTTGGGAACCCTTAATGGCTGAACCTATATAAATAAAATTATTGATTTATGCTTGTCCTGCAAACCAGAAGCATGGGCACTTTATTTAGTTAAGAGTTGGGAGTTGAGAGTGAGGAGATGAAGTGAGCTTCCACGTAGTTGCATGAGATGAAAGTGGATTCAAGACGTATGACAGAAAGATTGTGTGACTTATATTGTGGTGGCCCAGGGAGAAATTATATGCATCTTGTCAACCAATGAAAAGGAGTTTGGTTGCATTATTATTATTACAGTTCCATCAGTCAGATCAGTTTTACATGATACACGAGGGCTAAATTCCAAATCTTTGAGAAGTATTAGTTGAGCCACACCTTCACTCTTTTTTCTTTGCTATCATATAGAGCTCCATGGGGTTAGGTAGTTATGTTATAGAACAATACGTTGAATAAAACTGGTAAATTAAAATTCTGAAGCATAGATTAGAATACTATGCAGTTCATGGTAAAAATGGTAAATAAATCAAGGAAAGAGAAATGGTAATAGTGAATTAGTGGCTAATGAGAGTTCTTGGAGGGGCATTTCGTTTCACTTGGAAATGTAAGATTTAAGGCCTTAATTGGCCCATTAGAAGAAAGAAATTATTCATGGAAAACATATTGTTTCTTATTAAATTTAATTTTCTTGGTTAGATAGATTCAGTGGTCGTCGAACAAATAGGAAGCTTTTTACTTGATTGCAACTCATTTTTTTCTTGTTTGGTTTCTTTAAATTTTGTTACCAAATCTTATTGAACTAATTTACTATTTTAGTCAGAATTTAAGTAATAACCAAATCTAATGTCGTAACAGTATGCAAAAATTTCAATCATGAATCATACTAAATATCCCTTGTGGTACTTTTCAATATATATACACACAAACACATACATATATATACATCCCTTGTGGTAGTTGAGCGATCATAGGACTTTTGACCATCAGAAAATGGAAGACAGAAACTGAAGATGAATAATGGACATAGCTATATTTCGGAAAATTTTTATTAACTACAGCTTTTGATTGCCGAAAGTGAAAAAAAAAAGAAAATAAATCCAAGAAAAATTTTTAAAGAAGAAAATAGTTTTGCTCGTATGCTTTGTTTGTTGAAAAAAAAATGGAAGACATTTTCTAGGAAAATCTTTTACGTATAATAAAAAAAACATGTATGAGCTTTGCCCTCCTTCCAAACAACAGGACGACCAAGAGAACTAAACCAATAAAACCCACCAAAAATTGAGAACATGGCAACCTGGTACACTGAACCAAATGCCACGGTTGATTGATTTCTCTGTTTTTTTTTTCAAAAAGAAAAATTATTTTACGAATTTGGAGTATCATTGGCTCTACCAACTCCTTATTCCTTTAGTCAATTTCATTTATGTATAATTGGGTATGAAAATTGATTTAACGTAGTCTAAAAGCAAACAAAAGAATTCTTATTTGATACGAAATATAAGAAATATAGCAAAAAAATGCATGACTACACGGATGGTTAGGGATCACAGCATTGCTATAAAGCAGATCTGGCTGACCAAGTACAAATAAAGTGTTCATTTGCATTGCCCTACTTATTGGTATGATTTCTTTTTTATTGTTCAATCATTAGAAAATTCGGTTTACATCTACATCCCTTGAGCGGTACAAACTACACATAAGGAAGCTAAATCGTATTTATTGTATACATCTTAATCGCTTATGCAGTATTACAAGCAAATTACTTTTCGAAATGGCTTAGCAAAATTCTTGCTTTGACCCAGTCTTCTTCCAATGCCTCTTGGATGCCAATGCCATACTATACCTAATTCTAGGGCCATGCACAATTATTGAAAGATGACTAGAGTTTCTTACGTATGCTTCGTATTAAAGGGTGCAAAATTATTGATTTGTAATATTAATAATCTTATTTACTGAAACTATGCTCCAGCTTTTTCTTGTTATATAATTTTAAAGAATTTCCACGTTGCTGCCTTTTTTTTTTCTAATCTCTTGGATCATCTAATCGAGCTCTAGTAAAAGATAATTCCCTCGGATTATTACTTATGTATTGAAAATTCACTGAGATTGACTAATATTAATGTGTGGTTTCCTCAGGCTTTTTTTTTTCGCTCACATTGACTAATCTTCCCTGACAATTGACTAATATGGGATCTAGATGATTTTTTTTCTTTACCTTACTTTTTTTTTATCTCCCTCGCCTTTCTACACCCTTCATGCTCCCAATTATCAGATTCAGAATTTGAACCGTTAATCTGACAATAGAGAGAACTTTAAGAGCCTTCTGACCACTGAATTTTCTCTACCTAACTTGCGTTATGCCAGCACAGTTCTGGTTAAAAAATGTACCATGTAGTACAGAACGTCTGTTGAACCAACAGCATCTGATGATGATACTCGTAAGGCAATGATGATAGATAGGTAGTTTATTTAGTGTGTAGAACTCTAGTCAAGTCTCTATACACATCCCAGTTGCTATATCATGAATGTGTGTACTTAACAGTACAAATTAAAATAGGAAGAAGCTTTACAAAATCGGGTACAAAAGACAAATTTTCAATGGTTTATGTCATTTCTAACAGCTGGATGTTGAAAAGTACCCAAACCAAATGCCAAAACCTGCGAGTCTGTCTTCCATTAATATTTCATATCAACGCGTGAAAAACCCTTAATTATAAAGCGTAACGTGATCAATCGAAATTGAGCTTTGAACACCGGCATTCTCCGGTTGACTTTACTTTGAGCCCGTCTCCATTCCGTCCACTTTTTTCTTCCATGTATTCTTCGTTTTGTAATTTCAAGCCGCCCATATTAATAGTTTGTACGAAATGAGTAATGATGAATTGATGATAAGTTTTAACTTCTACGCCACAGCAAACAGAAATTAGTTCAATTGACAAGAACGGTCTATTATCTCATAAAAGATTATGTGTTTGAATTTCAATATTGATATGAGGATTATATTGGTGGACGATCTATAAAAATCTCTATAAACGATATATGGTTTCGTAGGTATGTCCTGACCGTGGTGATGATAGCAGTCGAATGCATCCAAATTTTTTTATTACAAAAAAATTTCTATGGCACAATTTCTTCTCGTACTGTCTTAGTTTCTTGAAATTTACAAGTACACAAGTGGGGAAGGAAATAAAAAGTTTACACTAGGAAGGGGAATTTTAATACATCTAAATCTAAGTATATAAAATGAAATAAATTTAAATTTTTGTTTGGACAAAAGCTTATATTTTTAAAAATGTTCAAGTATTTATGGGAGGCAAACTAAATTTTCTAAAAGTTGGGGGGCGGGGGTGGGGAGCCGCCCTAGTCAACCAGGGATTCCGGAAGATGGAAAATGAATTAGAAAGAGTAATCGTAAAACATGTATTTCTCGTTTAAAATTTGATTTTGTGATGGGGACAAATTATGATGGGCTGAATAGGCCTTAATTTTTGCATTCGATAAAATCCAAAACCCATTGGGCTGAGCTTGCCTACCAAGTCCCAAAAGTTTAGTTAATATATACTAGTGTTTTTGGCACACCACAAGTGTGTGCTTATTTCAAGAAAATATGTGATTATTTTTTCATATTAAGTTACATATCATAGTAGATATTTATTTATCTAAAAAATCTAGTTACTATTGTCTTTAAAAAATCATGGAGAAAAAAGTGGAGATGTGAGGGAGTTAGTGTGAGAAAGTTGTAATTTTATCTCAAAGGGATAATTCTTTGTTGATTGTGGGGAGTTTTTTTCTAGAATATATTGGGATCAATTTACCCTTATAATTAAGGGTAGATTAGAAATTTTAAAAAAATGACACTGTGTATTTACACCACATAGTGTTGCTCTTCTTTTATATATTGTATAGATATGGTTTAGGTGGAACAGATACCTAGCCAAAAATTTTAATTGGCTAATTGAATGATTTTTTTTAAATTAAAAAGGTAAGAATATATATATATATATATATATAAACTATTTATTGGTGAATGATAATCTTTTTTGTTTAGATGCCAATCCCAATTTTATTAATAAAATAAAAGAAAATACATTAGGAGGGGGGCATCAATCGTGCCATTGGGAAATGATATGACAAAAAGCCATAAACGAGGACTACTACTCCTTTACAATGAATCAACGTATAACAGGCATCCTCCTAAAATCTAACTTTATAATAGCCATAGATAAGGAGTACTATTTCCTTATAATAAATGACTGTAACAAGCACACTCCTAGAATCTAACTTTACAATAGCACGAAATCTAGATGGAATTCTTGTTCCGCAAGGCACTTGAAAGATCCGGCTTCACAAAAAATGTAAGACAAAGAGCCACGAACTAAGACCAGAAGTTGAATACGAATAATTGTATAACACAGAGACCATTTTGCAACCCGTTTGACTCTGATCGGTCTCAACTTGGACATGATGCGAAAACCCTTTTAACACGCAAGTCTTTATGGTGAATGGTGATGTTAATTAGTTAGGTTTTGTCTAACTAAACGGTAGCACTGAATTTTTTCTAGAAAGAAAAATTGAAGTTAAATTGGAAAGAGTGTCTAAGAAACGTCTTTAGCAATCTGGTTAAGTTGTGCTCTAAGTGTTAGCATTGTAAAAGTGTAGTTACCTTAAAAAATTGCACACTTTTGGCTACTTAACTATCTTTTGTTGCAAATCATCCACTCAACTTATGGAAGTAGTGCAATACCATTGGCCATTTTGTTTACCTTTGCCATTAGAATTATGCTTTTGCATTAGTTTCAAGATTATTTATGAAAAATTAAGAGAACTTGGTTATATCCCAAGATCGAAGGTTTTAAATTCAAATTCTCTTTTTCCTCTAAATCCCACTCCTCTCCTACCTTTAAAAAAGAAAACATCTTGGTTATATATTTATTTATATCTTGTCTGTTTACCCAATTCTTTTTCTTTCTTTTCATTTATTATTATTATTTTTAATTGCAAGGCATTTTGCAATTATCCCATTCCTCTTCTTTCTCCTTCACACACACATAGACGCATACATAGACGCATAATAATTTCACTTTGTACTCTCAAATTTGTACCTCATTCTTACTTTGTACAATAAATTTTAAGCTAGGATATTTTGTACCCTAATCTCTAAGATTTGTCCCACTAGAGTCCAATCCATAGCAATGTTAGCAAAACTAATAGAATAGAGTGTTGCGCACATAATGTATACCTAAATCACTCTACTAGATGATAGTGTATTATTATCATCTAGTCATGTAAAAAAGCGTGTTGTGTAATTAGTCTTCCATTCCTTTGGTTTAGATTTGACTCAACTGGAACAAATCTAAGAGGTTGGGATGCTAACCGTTCAAAATTGAATTTTATGGTACAGTGAAAATAGGGTATAAGTTCGGATGTACAAAATGAAATTAGTCCATATGTAAATTACATAATAGAATTTTTATACAATAACATAGATAAGTCCAAAACTAAAGGAAAAAATGTAAATTGGACGACAAATTCAGATAGAATAACAACTCATATACCACTATTGAGTGCACCAAACACAAAATAGTTAAATGGTGAAAGGCATACAATTTTAGTGATTTAATTTGTGGCTGTTTAGGTTCCTTGCCCTAAATTTTATTAAGCTACAAATTTAGTTACATGAATCATGCTTACCCTTTTGTTCCTTATACACAAAATTCATAACCAATTCCATTCTACTCTAAGGGGAAGGGAGAGCCTAATTAAGCTATATGAAGGGTTAGGAGAAGATCACCAGAAAGGTACACTACTGCACATCTTCTAGATTACAATTTAAGTGTATGTGTGGAGTTGTGAACACTCAACCTACAGCCCTAAGGGATTTTAAAACCCTTCTTGATAGCCAACTTATGAAACGCAAAGCCAGTTCAGGGATGATGCTTGCCAAGTGCCATAGACGTACTTCTATCATTGGTAACACAATCCCAAACAACTTTAAAATTAAGGAGCTATCTGGCAGGTCCATTTAGAAATACAAAATTTATCTAAAATATCATCTACAATAAGTGTTAAAAGGCAAATGATATTTATACTTCAAAACAAGTTCCAGACATTCTACTCTTCTTTTTACTTAATGAAATAGTACAAAACCTATTAGATATTCTAAGAAAGTAAATTACTTCTCTATACATTCACCAATAAATTTTATCTCTTCAATTCAATTAGTTTTTCCTACTCTTAAATTAGCTTCAAATTGTTGTACGATTAATAATAAAAGAAATTCCTAATAATGTTTTTTAAAAAAATGCCATATTAATATGAGTTACTTAATAGTCCTTGACTAAAGTGCAAGATTTTGTTGTTTAGAGTTGTCTATTACTTTTCAATTTGTTCATTATTTTTAAGTTAATTTTTTACAACTTGAAATAATGATAAAGTTTTTTAATTTAAAAATTAAGATTTTGTAGTCAACTGTACAGAGTTCTCTATAAGAATATTGTAAAATGATCATTAAACTATACCTAGAGGGTAATTTTGACATTCAAATTGTAAGAGAATCTAGACTATAGGTGATTATTTCATTTTTAACAATTATAAGTTTGGTATCTCAACCTTTTTTTTTTTGGAGTAGTAATATCATTTGCATTATTAAAAACATCTAAGATCACCTTAAGCTTTTATTAAAAAAATACCCAAAAAAGCACACCAAAAAAAATTTAAAATACCCAAAAACACACGTCAACACCAGACGTGCCACTACCTCCCTCCCTCCTCCGGATTTGGCTCATCTATAGTAGATTTTCTCTATTTTTGATACTGAACATCTTGATGTATGATATGTGTTTTCATTTATTAGAAAGGGATATGATCATTTTAAATTTGACTAATTCTAAATCTTGTTAAGTAATGAAGATACATGTTATGTATCCAAATATTCGTTGTGAAAAAATGGAGAAGGGATCTACTGGAGAAGAGCCAAGTCCCCCTCCTTCACCCTCTTTCCCTTCCTTCTTCCACCCTTCACTCCGCTCTTTCCCCTCTTCTCCCATATTTCCTCCCTATAGTAAGTTTTAGACAAATAATGCAAGACACAGACCAGCAAAACGGACCCTAATAAACTGTTAAAACTTTTCAATTTTGTGAACCGAAAAATCTCACTACTTCAGAAACGACTTTGAACCATGAATCGTCTTTAGTGTATTAGTGAAAGGACAACATCGTTGAAAGCATGAAGTTGGTTGATCAGTTAAGGAGAAAAGATCTAGAAAATTACGTACCTAATAAATCAATAATGACCAGAAGAGAGCTACATTGATGAACCTGCTAAACTAGACTAAGACTAATAACTTGATCATCTTCTTTACCATTTTTAGAAAAAATATGTACATGTATGGCAATATTACGTGGACTAGTACTTCCATCTATCATTACCATCAAACTACAGCCAATCCAATGAGTTGCGAGAACATACTCCTTTGATGTGTTTGGTGATCAATCAGATTTCCAAAAAAGAGAAAAGAAAGAAACAGGAACAATCTTCAATTAATTTTTGGCATTAATTCGGGCAGCATTAACAGATTAATGGCCAGAAAATTACATACCTGATAAATCAATAATGACCAGAAGAGAGCTACGTTGATGAGCCAGTTAACCAGACTAATAACTTGATCATCTTCTTTACCATTTTTACTAAAAAGAATATACATGTATAGCAATATTACGTGGACTATTACTTCCATCTATCATTACCTTCAAACTACAGCCAATCCAACGAGTTGCGAAAGCATACTCCTTTGATGTGTTTGGTGGTCAATCAGATTTCCCAAAAAGAGAAAAGAAAGAAGCAAGAACAATCTTCAATTTATTGTTGGCATGATTAGGGTAACATTGGTTGCAACAACAGATTAATTACACAGATTTGTGACTATCCTTGTGACTTCTTTGTAAATGCTTGAAGAAATCAATGAACGGATATGGGAGAATACTCGGTTTACTTGTCAACTTGTGGATTTTGTGGTACATTCAAGAGATATATAATCATGGTAATATAATGATGTTAAAAAAGTGACGGTGGATGAGATATGATGATACAAGAAAATCCATTTACCTCTTGAATATACCACATAATTTAAAAGTGAGGGTGTAAACCAAGCCTGCCGAAAGATCTCCCATGTCTACTGCCGCTAAAGAGTTCCCTAGTGATTCCACAAGGAATCATCAGGTACTTCTACATAGTCAGTCATTTCATGGTCATAGTCACCTGGAAAAATGACCGGGTCTCCTAAAAACTTTGAGCCAGATGTCATCTCCATCCACATATTGTAATTTGGTGACTCCAATGGCAAGTCGTGAATGGCCTGAATCTCTCTCTGGGAGAGTCCTACTGTGACAGGCTGAGCAACATAATCGACCACGGTAACAGGAATTCCTGCTGCAGCTTGATCATCATAATTATGCTGGTCTCCAATGGACTTCTTCAACAGCAAAGAACCTTCGTGAGCTGCCAATCTCATATCTTCAACACTTGAGCTAGCTGGACTAGGAAGATAATCCACCAAGTGAGGGAAATTTAGCTGGGCCGCCTGCCCCCTCAGGTGAAATGCAGCTGTATCATAGGCAGCAGCAGCCATCTCAGGGGTATCAAAGCTCCCAAGCCATATTCTTCTTTTATCTCCTGCTGGCTCTCTTATTTCAGAAACCCATTTTCCCCATTTTCTCTTCCTGACCCCTCTATAAACAGAAGGGGTTCCAACTTTCTTTTTAACGTTGTTGCTTTCCATTTTTATCAGTCAGGTTTTCAAGGATGGATAATCTGTTGATCAAAACTCAGTGCCATGTAAAAGAATATTCATCCCTTGCCATATATAGTCATTCCAAATTGCTCAGCCTGACGTTCAAGGGTTAGAAAAGGCAGCTTCCGAGTAATTTCAAGGTCGGAGAAATTAACCTTTATTGAAAGTGACCACAGCAAAATAATTAATAATCAATTGGAGAGAAAAAGACCAAATTGTTTCTTATTAATGTAATCTTCATTTGTTTCCCATTTTTACATTGTCCGCGTGCACATTTGTGTTCCAGATATGCGGCTATAAGCCTATAACTCTCTGAAAAATCCTTAGATTTGCATTTATATTAGTACTTACTACTTTTTCATTTTTCACCCAGGGTTCTAGTCTTGTACGAAAATAGAGTGAAATCAATTGGCCCGTGCCCCGTAGAATATGTTCCTGGGAAGTGACGCCAAAAGAAATCTGAAATAGGAAACCTAGCTGGCTAGCTTGATCATTGTCTCCTAGGACTAAACTTCTCTAAAAAAAGAGTAGGGCTGTTTGTGGATAATGATGCTACATATGAAGGATGAAAGCCGTGTTTCCTGTTACATAACAAGGATGTGGTTATTTCAAGAGGAAGAGGTCTTGGTCCAAATCAAGATTCAACACCAATGCTTATTACAAAGCTCAAATTAATTTAAATGACTTTTCTTATTAATTATTGATCCTCGAAATCCTTTCATTTTACCAAATACGAACAGCTACAACATTGCCTTTGTTGTATATGAACTACCTTTTTCTTTTTCTCCTTCTTCCTTTCATTTCCTTTAGTTTCAAGCTTCATCATATCTTCGCATATTTAATTGAAGTTTAAGGTCCATCAAACATTTGAATATTAGTCGAGAAAGTCTTGATTTAGTTACTAAAATTAAGATCTCGAATTTAAACTCTTCTTTTTCTTTCTCCACTTTTTAAATCTCATACTTTCCTTACTTTAAAAAAAAAAAAAAAAAAAAACCATTTGAAGTGAGTCACTGGTTATACTCTCTTTAGGGTCAAACCTACGGTGACTTGAAAAACAAGTTTGATATGAATTGCATATACGCGGAATGCAGCACTCCAACAGCATAAATGAAAGCTTAAAATGATAAATTAAATGATCATTAGTTTTTAATATTTAGTTAGGAACAAATGATCAGTACTCTCAAAGCGTATTTATCAAAAACCAAATTAATTATAGTTTGCATGCGTAACCTTTTCGACCATTCTTCCATTCCATACTCAACTTTTGTTATAGACATATTGCACATTAAAGTTATCATTTACTACTATATCGAGGCTGGAAGTTATTTTTGATGCTTTGCATCCTAAAATTACCAATTTTATTTCAAATATCGATAACTTCACGTATAATTAACTATGTCAAATACAGATGCAAAGTATGCTGCAAGCAATTGATGCAAAGTGGAGAAGTGGAAATAATCCTTATGAAACCTGTTGTATGTTTTTCTCTATATGTCGCATATTTTGAGATAGGTCGAAGCATATTGTACCATCCAATATAGTAAATGTTTTCTTGTATCTGCAATTTAGTAATGCTCTTGTGTATGTACCTACAAAAACTGCAGATAGAAAGCCCTTTTTTTCTTCGCAAAATTTTTTCTTCAATAAAGTGTTTGATAAATGAAGCATATATAAGGAGAGGGATAGATTGGATGGTATGGGAGAAGAAAGTGTAAGTGAGAGGTGCTAGTGTCCAAAACCTCACACTTAAAAAAATAAAATAAAAATCAAAGCATATATATATATATATATATATTCCTAGTGAGATTAATTAGAGACTATTCGGATTTATTAAACTATTTCCAAAAAGTGCAAAACTTGGCAAACGTATTGACGTTACAAGTGTTTCATGGTATTGGGGTATCAAAAAAATGAAAACCAATTGGGTTTCTAGTTTATTTGGATAGTGGATTATTTAAACAAATTCATGTGCTTTCATCATCAACACATTTTTAACCACATTTTTATTTTACATATACCATATAAAAAAAGTACTACATTATTTTTTCAAAAACATATCCCAAATAATATACTATCCGATAATATACTATCCAAACAATGTTTGGATAGTATATTATTTGAGATAATTTTTTTAAAAAAATATTGTAGTACTTTTTTAATGCGATATATGTGAAATAAAAAGATGGTTGAAAATGTGTTGATAATGCAAACATATAAATATGTACAAATAATCCAAGCGACAATTGAGGAATGCTTGTGTAATGTAAAATATCGATCCAATGTAAATATCATTACAAGCTAGTATTTTTCTACGTCCCCCCTCCCTCCTCCTCAAATGTGAGCTGAGGAGCAAATAATTCATAAAGAAATTAATTGACGATGAGTGAAGTGATCCAAAACCTAATTAATGTAGGTGAAAAACTTTAGAATATTAGTATGGAACATTCAGTCTTCTAGCAGTAACATGGAGCAAGAAGCATGCTGAAATACGAGGATAGAGTTTGTTAACACAACCTTAACAGTTGCTTGTCAGAGTTGCTTTCTACATGTCCAGATACAAGGGTTCATACTCAATCCACTCACATTCTTTTATCGAAGAAACACCTGTACCTATTTTCAATTAAAAGATTCCTTTCCTTGGATATCGATCTATTTTATTTCTGGAACTTGACTATTTTGTTACATGGATGTGAAGGGTAACGTGCTAATCAACATTGGGTCGGTACCAAAGAGTTTCTCTCTCTCCATTGTGGTCAGATAATTAGAAGTGTCATTCTCGTACATGGTATGAGCTTGAATTGACCAAAGCTCTTTTTAGCTTCTTCCTTTTCTATTTTTGCTTGCCAAACACAAAACTTTAGCTTTATATATATATATATGCTTTATATATACATATATATATTTATTTATTTATTTTATTGTGCGGTATTACAATTACTAGCAATTAATTAAGTTATAGTACAATTTTAGACGTTCCTAAGAAACATGTTTCCTTGTTAATGTCATTCATTCTCAAATTGATAATGTCAATTGAAATCCACTATAGTAATTCCTAAGATCAACATTTGGAAAAACAAAAAATGGGCTTTTGATTTTACCAACATTATCCAACCAATTAGCCTCATCTCTTTCTGAGGACCACAAAGATATCAAAGCGACCAAGGGAATACCAACAAAAGACTCATATTTTATGAATTTAGACTAATTGTTCAAAGTTTCTCATGTGACTGGCCGAAATAATCACTTATAACAGACTCAGATTTTGCCTAGAATTCTTGTTCAAAGTTTCTCATATGACTAGCTGCCTATTTTTTTAATCAGCAATTGTCTTCGAAGTGCCTAACATTGGAACAAAAGCTCTGTATCTGCCGACACAAGCCGCTATCAATACTGAATACTGGTTACTATAAACTTGACACATACTTTGCATTTTGCCAAAGATTTTGTTCAACAATATTGTCGCCCACAAGAACGAAAGTTTGATCAATTTTAGGGTTTTGGACCAGAAGTCCATTGACAGTTAACGTTCTAGAATGTGATTTTTTGGAAGTTAGCTTTTCAAACTGTCACGTTTTGCAAAGCATTTTGATAATCATTTCCATGCTGAGTGATTTTCGTTTCTGTCAATTAAAGCTTTTATTGGAAAATAAATTAATACTAAGGTAAAAGATCTACCTTAAACTTAATCTAAGCACTCTTCAAAATATTGAGTTAAAATGTTGGTCACTTTCTAAGACAAACGAATTACCCAGATACTTTATGCTTAGTACATTCAAGGCGACTGCCTACAAAATACGATCTCAATTCATCCTATTTCTTCCAAGTTGTGATATGGTTAATTGAAGGATGAGCCAAATAAAGATAAAGTTTGATTTTTATTTTTTTTTTGTGTTGTGTTCAAATAGAGATTTCAAACTATTCAAGGAAGAAGAGTGATTGAGGAGAGTTTGACAATCGAACCAAGAACCTTATCATTCAAACTATATGAGGAAGAAGAGTGATTGAGAAAAGCTTGACAATCGATCCATGGACCTTATCATCATCTTGTTAATGTTTCCACCAATTAAGTTAGATCTTAATGACTCAAATATAATCAAAATGTATGCACCAAAAGAGATAAACATGTACACTTTCACAAAAAATATGTAATCACATATATAAAAGGTATAGTCCCTCGTTCGTGATTGTGTATGAGGTATATTCCCTCACTATTAACTTTTGATTTCTTTTGTATTTTTATTCATCGACACCAAAGCAATAATTGAAAAGTGACAATGACCCTAGAAAGAAAGTAATTATAAAAAAAAAAAAAAGCATTGCGAGACCATCCAACACAGCATATATAACTCAAATCAACAAATTTTAATTAAAATTGGAAAATTCTGATAAAAGTAAAAAGCAGTAGAATAGAAGAAAGTCAGAGAAAGACATTGACCAATTGAGGCTCAATTAGAATCCAACATGAAACACGTGCAATCAGCTTTGACAAGAACCTCTTCGCAATTGATAATTTTTTAAGTTCTTAAAAAGTGCCAATGAATTTTTTTTTCGACAATCGGTAACAGTCTATTATATATCTATTTCTACTCCTATTCTAACCTATTTTGGGGAGATCCAACTGAGTCTAAAGGAGGGCCGACGGGGACTGAACTACTATCGGATTAGACGAGTGCACTACACACCCGTCTGGATTTAGAAAGCCACAACTGTGGCAATTGGTGGAAGGCAAAATTTGAAAACCCTTGCCACAACTTTAGAAACCCTTGCCTCCCACCCCACCCCACCAAATCTTAAAGACTTGATGGTGGCCATTGCCAATGAATATTTACCTTTGCATATTACTGTGACAAATTAAACTAGAGCTTTAACAATTATAAAATGTTGCCTAGTGGTAATCGAATCTGTGTTGGATCCCTCATAGGTTATTCTAGAACATGGAATTAAGTATATCGGAAATCCTTCACGTGCAAACTTTTGTAGAGTTT